AAGCTCGTACTGGCGGTCATCCAGGACGTCACTGCCAAGGGTAGGAGCATCCCCGACAGACGGAGGACAGACAGGGTCAGAGACCAGAGCGGTGGCGTAGTCAAGGCGGCGGGTAGAGGCGAAGTCAGCGACCACAGCGACATGAGCGTCAAGGCGCAAAACCGGAACAGACGGGTCGGTAACAAGAGAGGCAAGGACCCGAGAAACAAGAGGACGAGTGGCACAAAGGGAGTCAGACATAGGGGGAGGCGTAACGACAAGGGAGGACGGAGGAGGCGACGGTAGGAGGGGAGGACGAGCCACGTGGGAACGAAGCAACATAGGGTGGGAGCGCGAGACAGGGGAGACAGGGCGAGCACGGGAGGGACGGCGAGACCAGTCGTGCGACGGAGGTGTCGGGTCAAGAGACAGAGGAGGAGACACAAGAGGGGAACGAGGAGGGAGACGAGCCGAGGACGAGTCCGGGGGAGGGAACACAGGGCCGTAGACCGGAAGAGGAGGGGACGGAAGGCTGAGCAGGCGAAGGGCGGACACCGGTGGGGACGGCGGCTGCTGCGGCACAACACCGACTCCAGGACCACCAGCAGCTCCATGGCTACCGCCGGAACACTCCACGCCTACACCCCCAGAGGGAACACCCCCAGAGCCAAAAACCCCGCCAGCACCGGTACCGCTCCCAACTCCAGCACCAGCAGAGGCATCAAACAGTGGCTGCGGCAGTGACGGCTCAGGCGGCGGCGACAACTGCTGCTGTGGCGGCGGAGGAGGAGACACCGGGGGGGAGGCAGGTGGCAAGGACTGGGCCGCAGGACCACCAGAGTTAGCAGATTCCTCTACCGGGACAACCAACGGGAGGGGAATGACGTGAGACACACCGGACGGGGCAGGATGCGGGGGGGGCGGGGATGGGGCTACCACGGACGGGGGAACCAGGAACGGGGGGGGGGGGGGGGAACCGGGGGACTACGGTGCGGAAAGCGGTGGTAGAAGGAAACGGAATCGTCAAAGGTAACGTCGCGGGAGTGAAAGAAACGGTGGGACGGCGGGTGGTAGAAGTGCCAGTCAGACGAGTCAAGGGGGAAACTAAGGAAGACACAGGGGACAGTGCGGGCAGTAAGCTTGTCCATGCCAGAGGCACAAACGTGAGCAAGGCATCCCCAGACGTGGAACGCAGACGCGTCACCAGGAGCCCTGGTCCAAAGAAGGGTCGGCGAAACCTGCGGCCGCTGAGAGTGCGGCCACAGGATAAGCTGGTGAGCAGCGTAGCGAACCGCGAACGGCCACAGAAAATGGGGTGCACCTGCGTGGATCATGGAGGTACGAGCCACCTCCATGACCAAACCGATGCGTTGCTCAGCGACCCCATTCTGCTGCAGCGAGTCCGGCAGGGTGAACGTCTAGGTGATGCCCTCCGCACGACAGAAGCGACCAAGGACACCGGAGGCAAACCCGCCACCACGGTCAGAGTGAAGACGCAGGACAGGGAGACCGTGGTGGACACACGCGAAGACTAGCCAGGGGATAAGAACGTCAGGCACGTCGGCCTTCCGCTCCAAGGGAAAAACTGTGGTGTAGCGCGTGTAGTCGTCGACAAGCACGAGGAAGTAACGCTCGCGACGCGGTCCATGGACGGGGGCGGGGCCCCATACGTCCATGTGCAAGGTCTGTAGCGGTGCGGGGGTGGGGGGGAAAGAGGAGGAGTGAGGGGCACGGCGGAGACGACCCTCAACGCAGGGCGTGCACGGTGGTGCTGTGGAGGGGGGCAACGCGGGGAACGACCCTGGGAGACCTAGGACAAGACCGTGCTGTGACATGTGACGGAGACGCGGGAGCGCAGGGTGACCTAGACGGTGGTTCCACAGGAGGGTCGGGTGAGTAAGCGATCGACACGAGCAGGCCGCTGCAACCTGAGACGACACAGCTACCTGGGGAGGCGTGTAGCCTGGGGGGGGGGGGGGGGGGGCGGTGTCCAGTGTGAACAGGCCAGACAACGGGTCCCGGGGGAACGTAGCGAGGGGAGCAAGTGGCGGCCTCAGTACAGACAGCAAGCCGCTCGTGACCAGGGAACGTAGTGGTGACGCCAAGGTCCTAGAGGCAGCCAACACCAACTAGGTTCCTGGAAAACGAGGGGACGTGCAAGCCTGTGAGTGAGCCCGAAGGAGCCGCCGGGCAGGGAAGGGTGGTAGAACTATGAGCGACTACCGGACCGGAGGAGGGGTCAGCAAGGGAAACCGCAGCAGGAGCAGCAAGCGGGGACATCATAGTGGAGTCGCGGAAGAAGCACCGGGAAGCGCCAGAGTCCAAGGTGAAGGTGAGCGCAGCAGTGGCGGCCGGGGTCGAAGCAGCGACGGAGAAACCTAGGCTAAACAAAGCAGGAGGTCCTACGCCTGACGCAGCAGGGGGGGCACGACTAGGCACACCTACACTAGGCAACACGGGGTAGTAAGAACCAGTCACACTGGAGTCATCAGCATACATCACATACAGGGCAGAGCTAAGCTCATCCATGTCCATAAAAAAAATCGGAATACTACGACGAAGCAAGCTGAACCAGTCGGAGAGGTCGGGTGACGGGCCGAAGCGAAGATGAAACAGGTCGTCAAGGCGACGGAAGCAGCGAGCAGGGGAGTGACCGGTCTTACCGCAAACGGAGCCGCGACGAGGATCGGTCAAGAGCTGGTACTAGCAGCGCCCGTCACCCGAACTGCCACCTGGGAGCACACGATGCGCACGTCCACCACCACGTCCACCGCCGTCACCAGCGCTAGGCCACCCGGGCGGGAGACCACTCGCCCGCCTCTGCTGCTGCGACTGCTACGGCTGCTGCGGCTGGAGCTGGGGCTGCGGTTGCGGGTGGTGCTGGTCCGGCTGCGACGGCTGCGGCTGCTGGGACGGCTGCTCGACGGCACCAATGACAGTCCCCTCATCTGCGCCACCACCAGGCGCTCCGACTCCACTACCACCTCCACCTGCACCCCCACCCCCTCCGCCGCGCCCAGCCTTAGGGCGGCGACCCTTCCCCGGATGGAGCTGCGCTGCAGCAGCAGTCTCAGCCACAGCAGCAGAACCGTCGGAGAAGGTGCACTGGGAAGGGGCACAACTCTGAAAGATGGGGACCGACACAGTACCGCTAGTCTGGGCGATAGAGCAGTGGCGGGTCTCTATGGCAAACAGGGTGTCGACAAAGTCGGTGAGGGTGAGGTCACCGGGGTGGACGCTAAGGAAGCGGTCGCGGGCAGTGGCTAGACGGTCAGGGAGGCGGGTGGTTAGCAGGTAAAGGGCAGAGCAGAGGGGCAGCTAATGAGCTCTAAGTTGGGTCTCAGTGCAGGCAGAGCGCCAGGTCGAGTTTATCGTGTGCAGGTGGGCGGCAAGGTCAGCGACAATAGGGAAAGACGCAAGGGCAGGGAAAAGCATCGGCAGGATCAGGCGACCTACAGAGGCAGCAGGCGGGGTGGAATAGCGCTAGACAACAGCATCCAGGAATGCCTGGGCAGTCGTGACGGACTTAAAGCGAGGGCGCTCAGAGAGTGGGAGGGCATGGCTGATAGCAAGCTGCGCAACAGCGTCACGCGACAGCCAGACAGAGCGAGCAAGGGCAGCAGCGGCAGTGGACTCACGCTCAGCAGACGAGGGGTTAGCAGGCAACGCAGCAGGGGGGTCAGGGCAGGGGAGCGTACCGTCAAGATGGACAGACAGCGAGTGGCCATCCTGTCGCTGACCAGTGAGATGGCGGCGAAGGTCGACCAGCCACGCGTCAAACTCAAGCGGCTGACCCTCAGCGTCGAAGCGAAGTACCTCCGCCACCAGGAACGATGCAGAGCGGTGCAGTGCGGTACTTAGCGGTGCAGTGCGGTGCAGAGCGGTGCAGGGCGGTGCAGTGCGGTGCAGGGCGGTGCACGGCGGTGCAGCGCGGTGCAGTGCGATGCCGGGTGGTGGAGTATGGTGCCAAGTGGTGGAGAGCGGCTCCAGGCAGTGCAGGGCAGTGCAGATCGGAGAAGGACGAACCGGGCACGAGGCAGAGACGGGCCGGCGGCGTAGCGAACCCGGGGCCGGCTAGAAGAGGGGGGGGGGGGGGCGGGGCCAACGAGGGACGGGCGCGAGGGGCCTGCGAGGAGCGGGCGCGACAGGGGCGCAAGGGGTCGGCTAGGAGCGGGCGCGACAGGGGCGCGAGGGGCCGGCTAGGAGCGGGCGCGAACGGCCAGGGCGCCGGCTAGGAGGGGCGCAACGGCCAGGGGGCCAGCTAGGGGCGGGTGCAAATGGCCAGGGGGCCAGCTAGGGGAGAGCGCGAACGGCCAGGGGGGGCCGGCTAGGGGCGGGCGCGATGGCCAGGGGGGCAGCTAGGGGCGGGCGCGAACGGCCAGGGGGCCAGCTAGGGGCGGGCGTGACGGCCAGGGGGCCGGCTAGGGGCGGACGCGACGGCTAGGGGGCCAACTAGGGGCGGGCGCGAACGGCCAGGGGGCCAGCTAGGGGCGGGCGCGACGGCCAAGGGGGGGCCAGCTAGGGGCGGACGCGACGGCCAGGGGGCCAGCTAGGGGCGGGCGCGACGGCCAGGGGGCCGGCTAGGGGTGGACGCGATGGCCAGGGGGGCCAGCTAGGGGCGGGCGCGAACGGCCAGGGGGGGGGGCGGCTAGGGGCGGACGCAACGGCCAGGGGGGCCAGCTAGGGTCGGGCGCGAACAGCCAGGGGGCCTGCTAGGAGCGGGCGCGAAGCGGCCAAGGCGGGCCAGCTAGGGGCGGGGCACGAGGGTGGGGGCTAGGGCCTAGGGCGGAAGCGCGGGCGGGCGAGAGGAACCTAACCTACTCATGATACCATCTTAGAAAGAGAGAATGAATATACGGTAATAGGAAGATACAGGGCAATATAGACTAGGGTGTTGTACCCTCTAAGGCACAAACCTGCATAGTCTACAGAAACAACATAAGTTATGTTTGACAGGTGTACCCTCTACTCTAGAGTTCGATAAACCTACCAACCAAGCCTATCAATTATATAACAAAATATATAATTGAACAAGATGTGCTAGTTTGGGAAGAGATTGCCTGGGAAGAGGCTCGTAGGAACACACTCTTAGTATGTAGAAGTTATAGGCTAGATATGTGTATGTTCTTAGAGAATACAACCCAACCCTATACCTTGCTTGTTCTCTCTTGTTTCTACTCATTGCATTATTCTAACATGTATAACCAACATCAACACCGGAGCCTTCATTGTCAACAAAGATGGTGTCGGCCAGGGTGACGAGAGCAAGAACCAACGCCATATCGGCATTCGGCATAACTCGCACGTAGTATGTCTGGGTGTCAAACACTAGGTCGCGTGCAGTGAACAGATCACGCTTCACTTCAGCCAATAGCATGCCGTTGCTGGTGTGAATCTGGCATAAGAATGGAGCGGGATGGGTGGAGGCAGAAAGCAAATAGCTTTTGAGCAATTGAGTTCTGACAAAAGCATGCAGCTGGTTCATCCAATAACGAGACAAGGAGGATGAGAGGGAGAGAGAGGGTTCAAGGGGAGGGGTTGTGAGGGGAAAGGGGTAGGGTTGGGAGCACTCACCCTGAAGTCATGTTGAAAAAAAGAGCCGCTCAAGAGAATATCAGGGTTCTTTGTATCATTCCCACGTAGGAACACCTGCAAGAAGTGGCAGGAACGCAGAGAGGGACGAGGAGGGGTTAAAAGAAGGGAGGGAGGGAGACGGGCCGGCAAGAAGCACAACAAAACATGGAGAAGAGGAGAAAGTGCGGAAATGACAGACAGCGCACCTTGAGAATGGGGCAGAAGGTGAAGATCGATTTCTTGGCTTTAAACAAGTAATTTCCCGTGGCTCCGCTGTTCCCCGGGCAGAGGAAAGTGGTGCTGTGCAGAGTGAGCATCTTGCTCACTAGCATGCACACGGGTGCGCCTGTGGCGTCCTGAATCGTGGTTTTGGCGGGAATGGATAGGAGCCTGATCGGGAAGAGGAGAAAACATTAAGACGAAGTTAGTACACGCTGAAATAGTGACAGAAAAAAAATATAAATTTCAAACAGAATTTTGATGTTTCGATAAACGCAGCAAATCTTGTTGAGCAAGTGCCCGAGAATGAACCGTGATCTCACCTGTCTGCAACCTTAAAGTGTAGGTTCCCGTTTGTATCCCGGACCTCCTTCTTATCCCTGATCGAGAACATCTTCTCCTTCATTACAAGCACAGTCTCGTACGGCAAGCAGTACTGCGGCCCCACCACCGCGTAGGGTTGCGTGGGAACTTGCACTTGAGGCGCCACGTAAGGTGGGGGAAGAGGAGCGCCGTTCGTCGGCTGCTGGCAGGGATACGCTCCTGGCTGAGGCGCGGCGGGATACGCGGCGTGCATAGTCGCCACGGTCTAAAATATCTCCGAAGATACTGAGCTGTACAAGCGCGCGTTTAAACAGTTCAAACAAGACGCGAATAAGCGCTCAGGGCTCGTAGCTCAGACGAGTATCGTGCGATAGATTAGATAAGATCAATCGGCGCTCAGCGCTAGAAGTGTCTGGAAGCACCAATTAATCGTGGGACTGAAGGTGCTGCGCTGAGAGTCTGGAGAGCTACTGTAGCCCGGAAGAGCAAATGACGATTCCGATGATGGGTGCCAAGAGTAGCCATTTGAGACCGCTTTATACGATCCAAGATCGAACAACCAATGGGCGCGTCAGACGGCTCGTGCACCAATCCTGAGCTTTCACGCGGTGCGGTCCGATACAAGGATTTTCGCGTGACGACTAGAGCAAAATGGTCCCCCCTCCCCGCTACAAGTTGCGCGCCATGCCGTGCGGGGATGAGCAGAGAGGTGAAGGTAAGGAAGAGGGGAGTGCGCGAGGCAGATGGGAAGGCAAGACGATGGTGCGAAGCAAATCTGTTCGCAGGGAAATCTCAAGGCTAGGGAAGCACGCGTGGCTGACAAGAATGTCCCTTGTTTGACGGAGGCGGTTCAGGCATCTCCGTAGAGCACGTATTGCATTGCATCTGATGCGGTTACTCATGGTGACGGAAGTTTGAAAGCGGTTCGGATGCTTAGCCGCAGTAGACCCATGAGAGAAAGGGGGGAAAGGGACGCGATGGTGTGGGACGAGATGAGGCAGCCACGAGGAAGGAGAGGAACGGGTCTGACAGATGGAACAGAAAACGTTGACCCTCGGTATAGAGGGATCTTCTAATTAACAGGCTCCTTCTAAAACACCATATACGGGACCACCGTTGCTTTCCACCTAATAAAGCCATATTTGAAGACTGCCCAAGGTGATACCAGTCTATAAAAAGTGACCATATCCAATCTGAAACTAGGGTGCATATGCATATAAAAACAACACCACAACTATTTATAAGCCACCAAATGCATATTAGCATTGGCCAACTAGCATTGATTGTAACTATGTAGTACGTGTTCAAGATGTACCTGTTCGTAGAGTATCGGGACTATTCGCGTGACATGATTAGTGACTGTTCGTGTGACTAAAAGTGGCGTGACCCTTTGGCTGAAATACGCGCGAACCTACTGTTAGAATGGAAGAATTGAACTAGAATGTGAGAGTACAAGAGAATATAGGCTAGTGTTGTACCCTCTAAGGCACAAACCTATACAGTCTACAATAACATACTAAGATATGTTTTGACACACCCCCTAGACTGTATAGGGGCAGTGCCTAACAAACGGACAAGCAGCTCAGGGTGGCACTACTAGTCCAGCCTCTGAGACAGGGGTCTAAAGACCAGTCAAACGAGTACAAACCAAGACAAGAGCACGACCAGGGCGGCACTACTAGTCCAACCACTGGGAGAGGCCACAAGGCCAGTCAGAGCAATATATATATAAATGTTTATACACAATCAAGGCCCTAGCAAATGAGACACTACGGGAACAAGACCAAGCTGTACACAGTGCCGCTGATGATCTTTAGGCGCAAGCGCCTTCGTAAAGATATTAGCCGTGTTGGCACCTGAGGCCAAGTGTACTACGCGGGCCTGGCGGCGCTGCTGTAGCTCGCGCAGGAGGAAGTACCGCAGCTGGATGTGCTTCGCTCTGCCCTCAAGTCGAGGCTCCTGACACAGGAGGATCATGGCCCTGTTGTCAGCGTACATGACCGGGGCAGAGCTAGGCCGCTCACCTAAGTCGGTGAGCAAGAAGGTCAGCCAGCGAAGCTCTTGTACTGCCATGGCACCGGCGTAGATCTCAGCTTCACAGCTGGATTGGGCAACAGACGAGGAGCTAGTAACTCTCCACGAAACAGCACCTGAACCAAGGCTAAAACAGTAGCCATGGGAGGACCTAAGGGTCTCAGCGTCGTCTGCCCAAGAAGCGTCTGTGTGCCCAGCAAGGACCACTGGTCTGCGTCCTCCAAGCACCAGCCCCATGCTCGATGTACTCGCAAGATAACGCAAAACCCTCTTAGCGGCCGACCAGTGCTGAGGTCGGTGTCTGTCTGTGGCCACAAAGCGAGTTAGGATGCTGAGAGGGTATGCGAGATCTGGGCGAGTGCAGGTCATCAGGTACATGAGGCAACCCACCAACTCAGCGTAGGGACCACTGGGCTCTACTGACTCTTCAGGAACAGGAGCTGAGAGCATGTGCTCTACTGATAGAAGTGTGGGCTGTGCGGAGGAGAACTGAAGGCCGAACCGCTGAAGGACCTTGCGCACCAAGTGTGACTGTGAGAGAGTGATGGTGCACGCTGCTCTGTCCCAGGAGATCTGCAGGCCAAGGTAGTGGAGCAGTTCTCCTAGGTCAGTGCAGGTGTGTCTCTTCAGCAGCTCTGCCTTCACAAAGGCCAGTGCGTAACTGTCTGCAGTAGAAGAAGGATGTCGTCTACGTAAACAAGGATGTAGAACGGGGTTTGGCCAGCATGAACGAAGAGCGAAGGGCCAGCAGAGGACGGGAAGAACTGCAGGTCAGCTAGCGTGGCGCGCAGTGTGTCGTGTCACTCACAGGTGTGGGGAAGGGGCTTTTGGAGATGGTATGGGATTTTGGGGGGTGGGGAGAATCGAGAGATTGCAAGGGCAGGGGAATTCGAGATCGCATGGGCGAAGGGAATTGAGATTTCAGGGGAGGGGTGTGGGTGTGGAGGGGAAGGGGGGGGGGGGGGGGGGTGGGTTCGGCATGGCAGGTGCGGGGAAGGGGCTTCATTGCATGCTTTCTTGAAACAAATCCGAAAATTCCCATTTTTAACCCATTTAAAGCGAGGGTCTCAATAAGCAAAAAACCAAACCCGAAGGTTTTGGTTTTGGGGGGTCTCGGCAATTGCGAGGTGCGATGAGGGGTGCTGGTTGGGCGTTGTAACTGTTTCGCAAAGTTCGTCAACCCAAAACCGAAACCTTTGGATTTGGTTTTCTGCTTCTTGAGACACTCGCTTTAAAGCGCGGATCCCAAAACCCCGAAAGTCAAGTCCTAAGTTTTTTAGATCCCACGGGTTACCCGTTTTGCCGGGCGACAACTCAAAATCCAACGAGAACTCCACTGATTGGCCCCCACTCCACACCCTCCCTGCGACAATCCCGCCTCTAATCCATCGCCCACCTTCCCCTCCCAGGTTAAAAAAAACTGACCATCGAGCAATTTCGGGAATATCTCGCCCAGGCAACTAGACACACTAGATCTAAACCATTTTTTAAGAACATTTCCAGTAGAAACTCTCGTAGCGCGGCGAATACGCAGCGCCAAAGGAATGTACGCACCCTCCCGCCTCACTCTCGCCTTGGAGCCGCGTCGTCTGGCGAAAAAAATCGCCCGTAGCATGCGATTTTACGCTGTGCCATCCTCCCACCTGCCCGTTGCGACCAGCCCTCCTGCTGGTTGCGCGGGCTGCTGTCCGTGCTGCGTGCTGCTCGCGCTGCTCGCCCTCGCACTGCCCGCTGCCGCTGGCCGCTGTCCCCTGCTCGTGCTGCCCGCTGCCGCCCGCTGCTCGCGCTGCTCACTGTCCGCTGCTCGCCGCTCTCTGTGCTCCGCCCGCTGCTCGCCGCCCGCTGCGCGCCGCCCGCTGCTAGCCGCCCGCTGCGTGCAGCACGCTGCTCGCCGTCTGCTGCCCACCGCCCGCTGCTCGCCGCCCGCTGTGCTCCGCCCGCTGCTCGCCGCCCGCTGCGCGCCGCCCGCTGCTAGCCGCCCGCTGCGTGCAGCACGCTGCTCGCCGTCTGCTGCCCACCGCCCGCTGCTCGCCGCCCGCTGCTCGCCCGCTGCCCGCCTGCTGCCCGTCGCTCGCGCGCGCGCACAGCCGCCAGCGCAGCCGCCGCAGCCGCAGTTGCAGCCGTGGGAAGGGGAAGGATAGAGGACGGATAGGGGAAGGAAAGAGAGGTGGCAAAGGGGAAGGAGAGAGGACAGGAAGGGGAAGGAGAGAGGGTGGGAAGGGGAAGGATAGAGGACGGATAGGGGAAGGAGAGAGAGGGCGGGAAGGGGAAGGAGAGAGGACGGGAAGGGGAAGGATAGACGGTGGGAAGGGGAAGGATAGAGGGCGGATAGGGGAAGGAGTGAGAGGGCGGGAAGGGGAAGGAGAGAGGATCGTAGGGGGAAAGAGAGAGGACCGTAGGGGGATAGAGAGACAACCTTTGCCCCTGCACTCATGCTCGCCCCCAGCACCCATGCCTTTCCCTCGTTATCGGCGCCCTCCCTCAACCAACCACCCTCCTTCCCTGCAGGAGCTGGCAGCCTTCCGAGAGAAAAGGCAGAGAGAGTGAGGGCGAATTTTGTGCCCTTCCGTGCCCCTCTCATTGCCCTCAATCCCAGCGTCTTCCCCTCTCTTCCTCTCCGCTTCCCCCTCTCTCCCTCTCCACTTCCCCCTCTCTCCCTCACCGCTTCCCCCTATCTCCCTCTCCGCTCCCCCCTCTCTCCCTCTCATGCAGGCGTATAAGGGCGTCGTGCGTGGGGACGGGGGGCTTTTGAAGAGAGGGGGGCGTGGAGGGCAAGGGGAGGTAGGAAGGTTGGCTCGGAATAGGGAGAACAAGGACACTCGAGAGGGGGGGTGGAGGGCTATAGAGGACGGGAACGAGGGCTCTAGGTGGTGGGATGGAGGGCACTAGGGGTGAGGTGGGAGGGCTCTGGAGGGGGGGAAGAAGCGCCCTGCCTCACTTACTCGCCACGGCCCCGCGACGACTCACCTGCCTTCCATAGTCGCCCCCCTTAACCCATGCTCCCCCCTGCGCACGCCTCACTCACTCTCCACGCCCTCACGATTCATCCGCCCTCCCACTCCCTCGCAACCTCCCCATGCCCTCCCTCCCCATGCCCCGGCCCCCATCTCGCCCCATCTTTTCCTGTATCCCATGATTTCCGCCCCTAACCCATGCTCTTCCCCGCAACCCATGCTCCACCCCCCACTACCCCATCTCCCGTGCTCTCCCCCTCTCACTCATACTGTCCCCAATTCCCGCCTCCCGCTTCCCGCTCAGAGGACTTTTGTTAGTCTGGAAAGATTGGAGGGGGGGGGGGGGGGGGGTTGTAGAAGGGTTCTGGAGTGGTAGAGGGAGGGCTCTGTATGAAGGGGGAGGAGGACATGGTGGAGGACAGGATGACTCTGGAGGGGGGGAGGGGAGGAAGAGGGCCCTGGAGGGGGGAAAGGTAGGGAACTGTTTCGGGGCAAGGAGGGCTCTGGAGGGGGGGGAAATGGCTCTGGAAGGAGAATCACCCATGCTCACACCCCCTAACACGTGCTCACTCCCCCTCTCACATGCTCACTCCCCCCCTCCCATGCTCACACCCCCTCCATGCTCACTCCCCTCTCCCATGTTCACTCCCGCTCCCATGCTCACTCCCTCTCTCCCATGCTCACTCCCCCTCTCCCATGCTCACTCCCCCTCCCATGCTCACTCCCCCTCTCCCATGCTCACTCCCCCTCCCCCTCCAGATCTATCCCAGCAGCAGTTTGGCCGCTGAACAAAGCTGCATGGCAGGGAGC